AATAGTTCTAATACAGCACTGTAGACCAGTTCATATTGTTCCTGAAGAGCATCACAACCCAGAACAAATGAAAACAAAAACAAAAAAGTTGGTGAACTACAGTACCAGATTTTAGAAATATAAACACCAATCAAATCCTAATACGGCAGACCCAACAGTACCATCAGCATGTTATTAAACTTAATAACAATTCCTTGTGCTTGTGTAGTCCACTTCAGATTTCAAAGCACGTTTATGCTGCTGAAAATAGGTAAATATTTGATACGCCTCTAACTAATGTTCAGGAATCTTAGGACTTGTTTCTTTTATGTTCTAACCCTACTTCCTTATCTTTTTCTCCACCATCATTCCTCTGTTTTCCTTGCTTACATTAAAAAAATTTATTTCATTCTAGATGGATTTTTTGTAAGCCCCCTTCATCTTTTCTGGAAAAAGAGATAGTGGTTGGTGTATATATAGTAACTTCAATATCTATGCTTTAATTTGGTCCTCACAATTGCTCTATAAAGTAGATAGGCAATTATACCTATTTACAAACAGTTTATCCAAGGTCATTCAGAAGGAATTTCCAGGACTTGGCTTAGAAATTTAATCTCCACACTTAGTTCAGTGCATTTAGATAAAGTTGCTAAAATTTCATTCTATTAAAGATACCAAAGAAAAGTAAAACACTGAATAAGGTCTGGAAATTTGTGGTTACAAAAGGATTTCACCATAGAGAAGCTGGACCTCTGATATTACAAGGTTTCTGAGTTATTCCTCCTCTGTTTTTGCCTCTCCCTGCTCAGGCACTTGATTTTGGACCTACTTTTTATCTGGATGGTTTTTCCCTGACACTTTACTCATTTCTGTATAAATAAAGAACAATTTTTTTCAAAGATAATTTTAGCAGGAAAAAATGCAGAGTCTATACCATCCAACACAGCTATTAGTACAATCTTTAATTTTTTTTTTTCTTTTTTTTGAGACACGGTTTCACTGTGTTGCCCAGGCTGGAGTGCAGTGACTCAATCTTGGCTTACTGCAGCCTCGACCTCCAGGATCAAGTGATCCTCCCACCTCAGCCTCTCAAGTAAGTTGGGACTACAGTCACCTGCTACTATACCCTGCTGATTATTGTATTTTTTACAGAGACAGGGTCTCACTATGTTGCCCAGGCTGGTTTTGAACTCCTGGGCTCAAGCGATCCACCTGCCTCAGGAAGTGTGGGGATTATAGGTGTCAGCCACCACGTCTGGCTAATTTTTTTTAAGAAAGAAAAATCAAACAGGAAGCTCTCATCTGGTTACAGTGCCATTTCCTGGTTAGAGTAGTATCAGGAAAAACAGCTAGAACTGTTAGGTTCAGTTAGTCGTTTGATAATGCCAAAATGTGAAGGCTATTTTAGCTGTCTTCCAACTCTTAAAATTAGGCCTGAAATGGAATTTGTTTTTGAAAATGGGGCATGGTTTTATTAGTATTGCAATTTATATAACTAGGTTTCATACTTTTGGAGTCTTTATGCATTTACATGGATCAGCCTTCTTTCAAGTCTGACAGCATTAAACCAGCTAATGCTTTCATTTCACAAAAGCCTTCTCCTTCACAGGTTGAATATAGAAAACACCTACAGTCAACACATGAAAAGTTATTTTTTTCCACCAGCTATTAGTGGAAAACCTATGCAGGCCAAAGAGTTTTATATTATAATAGCTCTTTATTTTTTCCCTTCAATTCGCAGCTGCTAGCTTAATATATCTGAATTAACATTGTCAGTTGTTTTATCTCTAAAACTGTTTCCATCTTCATTTGTAAGTGTTTTAAACACTTTAAGTTCTTGCTATTTAAGTAGTCAAAAGTAGTTCTAACAAATTACACAAAAGTGCCTGTTAATAAACGTCAATAAACATTTGATGATGAATGAATTCTAAATTCTATATTAAAAATGGAGACCACTTGAAAAACTAAAACTATTACTGGTATAGAAATATGGGTGAAATTAATATTGTAGACAGTGAGAGATTTGGGCTATGAGGAGAAGGGAAGACCATTCCTAATGCAGTAAACACGTGTGGGCAATATGGGGTAGGTTAAAAGATTGTGATACATAAATATAGCGTGGTTGTAATCATGGTTTTTTTAAAGTATGCAGTAGATGCACAAGTATGAGAGTTGTACAATAAGGATCAGGAGAAACTGTGGCTATCTCTAGGTAATAGGAATATGGTTTTTATTTTTATTTTTCAGTGTTTATAAATGAGCACATAGACTGAATTCTCCATATTCTGTTACCACATCCTGAGGTAGAAATTGTCAAATCCCTGATTTTCTATGCTTTCAGAGATGAATTTTATCACTACAAAATTTCAAGTTAACATGACCTACCTATTTCAAGTCAGCAAGTCAAACAGCTTGGTGAATAGTTTTACAACATCTTTTGTAAGGAAGTAAGTAATATTACATTGGTGTCTTAATATTTTCTGAACAGACAGTAAAATAAACAAATTTGACCCAGGACAAGGGATACAGGAGAAATACTGGGATATTCAGAATTAGAAATAATGGCAATGGACTCTAGAGTACTTAATGGTAAACTGGTATTGTATCTGAGCAGTCAGCTGGTTTTGGATACTTCACCATTAAACATAGAGATGGAGCAAGACTCAGACACACATTCTGATCCATTCACCATAGTTCATACCTGAGTTTGAACTAATGAAGGCCTCTGTGTCCGCATTTCCTGGATCAAACTGAAAACACTGAAGTTCTCGGGAATGATCTACCAAATTAAAGGGGAAAGTATTTTATTCCTTTCAGTCCTTTGTTAATAAATTATTGTGATTTTTTCATAGTCTTGTACTTCCATGGCATCTGCTCTTCTAACATGAGATAATATCAGAAAAATAATGCATTTTTAAAACAAATGAGGTTTCTTATCACTTGCAACATGATTTAGAGCCTGGTGTTTTCCTTAGAAAAGACTAAGGAAACTCTTCAGAATCATGTCACATGGTGTAATCAAATGTCTAAATCTATATATATAATGAGGGACAGGATTCAGTAGGTGTGCAAGTATGAGAGTTGTATGAAATAAAAAAGGTTGGTAGATAGGTCTAAAGGACATATTTTAAACTTCCCATTTCTTAGTAGACATTACAAAATGATTTATAGGTTGGAACGCAAAGTATGATTGCTGTACATCGAGTCCATCCATTAAAGCAGTTTGGATAAAGGAAGCGTAACTATATAATTTAAGACAGTGGTCCTCAAACTTTAGCAGGCATCGCAATCACCTGGACAGCTTGTTAGGCCCCCATCTCTAGAGATTATGATTCAGTTCAATGGGGTGGGGGTCCAGTAATTTGCATGTCTAACCGGTTCTCGGGTGACGCTGATGCTTCTTGTCTGGGGACTACTCTCTAAGACCCACCCACCTGGGAACTAATTTAATCACCTGACAGAGTGAGTCTACAAGTACATTTTCTAGAAAAGATGAATCATGAAGAAGAAAGCAGTGGAGTAAGGAAATGGGAAGTGCCTGCTGAGAGAAACTCACCCCATCTTTTAGCAACATCCATGTGTAATCAATAGCACAAATAACACCAGTCCTTCCACAGCCAGCACTGAAATGAGAGATCACAGTAGCATGTATGCATGTATACCTAGAGAGAATGGACCATTGACAGTAGCTGGAAAATTTTACCAACAGATTTGAGAAGAAGATGCCTGGGACCAATTAAACTTTCCAAACCCCACCATTTCTCAGAGCACATTTGTCATGCCACAGGTCCTAGGCAACTTCTCAGAGCAAGAGTCTCTAGAGCTGTACTACTCACAAGTAACTTATCAGAAAAAAACATGGATTTAATGCTTAGGTTGAATTTATTATCATCTGTTTCTGCTATTAGCCTTCTCCCCTTTCAGTTACAGAGTCCTGGCCAGACTGACATTTGGTTCATTCTAGGTAGAAGGTTTATACGTAGCATCATACCTGCAGTGAATACATATGGGAACACTGTCATCCTCTTGGTAACAACGTATATCCCAGATGAGCTCAAGAATAGGGTCTATAGATGAAGGGACATCATGGTCTGGCCAATTCTTGTAATGAAACTGGTAGATAGTTCGAGTTTCCTATAAAAAATAGCCAGACAGGAGGGGAAGAGGGGCAAGGGCTGAAAAACTACCTATTGGGTACTATGCTCACTACTTGGGTGATGGGATTATTCAGTGGTACACAGTATACCCACGTAACAAACCTGCACATGTATGCCCTTATTTCTTATATTCTAAGATTAAAGTTGAGGCTGGATGTGGTGGCTCACGCCTATAATCCTACCACTTTGGGAGGCCGAGGCAGGCAGATTACTTGAGGTAAGGAGTTCAAGACCAGTCTGGCCAACATGGGAACCCCTGTCTCTACTAAAAATACAAAAGTTAGCTGGGCATGGTGGCGCACACCTGGAGTCCCAGCTACTGGGGAGGCTGAGGCACAAGAGTTGTTTGGACCCAGGAGGCACAGGTTTCGTAAGCCAAGATTGCACCACTGCACACTCCACACCACAGCCTGGGTGACAGAGTGAGGCTCTGTCTCAAAAAAAAAAAATGTTGAAATTATTGTAAAAATAGCCAGGATAATAAGACAACTCAAGGTTAGAACTCCACCTCATTATACCAAGACATTAGTTTGACATACTAAGTTTTATCTATATCCTTTTCGAAATTTATTCCATTTTCTTTTCTATAGATCTCAGGTGACCAGATGCTTTCTGAGAACAAAAGTGATTTCAGGTCACTTACTATTGGTTTGTCCCCATCTGCCTCATTCACAAGAGGAGGTAGCTGGATATAAAAGTCGTTCAAACCAGTGTTTCCCAACTGGTGTGCCTCAAATGTGTCACAATTATGCAGATATATTAAATCTCTTTGCCTTAGAGAAGCTGGGTAGGGCCTAGGGCAGCCCAGGCTCTCAAACTGGTTCCCAGTCTTTATGCACTGTTCAGCTTCTGTTCACCCTACAAATATTATCATTTTTTATGTGTGCCATGGCATAGAATAGATTGAAGACATATTATACCAGTGATCTCTTTTTTTATTTCTTCTTCTTTGAGACAGGGTCTTGCTCTGTCACCTAGGCTGCAGTGCAGTGGCACCATCTCAGTTCACTGCTACCTCTGCCTCTCAGGCTCAAGTGATTTCTCCTGCCTCAGCCTCCAGTGTAGCTGGGACCACAGGCACACACCATCACGCCCGGCTAATTTTTTGTGTTTCTAGTAGAGACAGGTTTTTGCCATGTTGGCCAGACTCAAAGTTCTCTTGAATATAAAGACTCATTCAGGACATCAGAGACCCTACCACTCCCATTGTCTTATGCCCAGTCTGAGCCACGCACATCTATATTTACTTGCCTGATCTCTACAGGCTTTTGAGTTTATCGCTTTGATTTTATACTTACATTATTGAACTTAACTTTTAGATTCCTGATGATATAATCAGATTTCCTTTTTTCAGTTTCCTAAAAAGAAAAAGAAGACTAAAATATTAGTTATTGCGAAGACAAGCTCTCTGTAAGGCAGACCCTGGAGGCTTTGCTCAGCTGTGAGAACAGACATGATACTTACACAGGATATGGAGAAAGGGCCAAATTGCAGCTGCATCTCTCCTGGCTCAGCCCAGTAGCGCTCACACTTTTTCTGTTGCACAAAGCAGAATGCAGTGATTTCCCTCCATATATTCTAGTCTCTTCTGGGAATAAAACCCACTCCCTCATTTGGAAGCAAATTCAGCTCTATGTCCTTCACCTTATGTTGGACGTGTCTAACCCCCTTGGGCTTCAACCCCTGCATTATTGGGATCTCCAAAGATGGGAAAACAAATATAAAAGGATATATAAATTACAGACCTCCTGGGAGTCTGAAAAAGTAGAAATAGAAATCTTTGACCTATTTTCAGTATTTCAAAAGAACTCACAGAAATTATATGTCTACTAAAACAGCTGCACAAGCTAAGTAAAATACCTAGTAGTTTCCTTGGTTTTGATTAGAATTGTCAACTCAGAATGGCAACAGTACAACAGTGATATCCAGTAAAATATAGTGTCAACCACCTATGTAATTTTATTTTTTATTTTTTTCACCTATATAATTTTAAATTTTCAAATAGATACATTCAAAAATGAAGAGATGAAATTAATTTTAATAACATATCTTAGCCCAATATATCAAAACATTTTGACATGTAACCAATATAAAATAATTATTAAATATTTGGTATTTTTTACTAAGTCTTCGAAATCCAGTGTATATTTTATATTTATAGCTAATTTCAATTAGGATGCCAAATTTTGGAAATCTTTTATTTCCATTTAGATTTAATAAAACTTACATTTGAAAAATTTTCACCTACTCAAATAGCTTTCTGCTAACTGAATTGCATGTCAATTTTAATCAATTAAAATAATTGAGTTCCCCAGTCATATTAGTGGTATTTTAAATGCTCAATAGCTGTGTGTGGCTAATGGATGTAATGTTGGACAGCACAGGATTAAAAGCTCCAGCCGGCAGTTAAAGATGTCTGATTAATAGAAATGGGCAAGTGATTTGTTAATCTTAAAAATGTATCTTGCATTTAACTTTAAAACATAGGGTTTACTGAGAAAACAAATAAAAAGGATTCTTAGAAAAAAAAAAATCCCTTGAGAGTCACGTGGCATTCCCAAACTGAAATCTAGGAAGATGGCATAAGTTGTTGTTGGTTTTTTTTTGTTTTGTTTTGTTTTTGTTTTTGTTTTTGTTTTTTGCTTTTTTTCTAGAAAAATGACTGAAAAAGACATAAGTTTTATCTAGGCACACTTAGGTAAGTTCTGCTGCCAATTTCCCCCTCCTTTTTCTTCCTTTTTTGTTTTTAGGTCAGCAGGTACTTGAAAGTAACTTACCTTTCCCATTTCATACTCCATGCATGCCATAACAATGATCTGGGGATGAAACAGATAGAAACTTTAACATTCATGTATAGTTAGAAACAGCAGTTAATACCTGGATCCCTGAAGTCAGAAAGTATTAACCATTCTTTTNTAGAGACGGGGTTTCACCATGTTGACCAGGATGGTCTCGATCTCTTGACCTCGTGATCCACCCGCCTCGGCCTCCCAAAGTGCTGGGATTACAGGCTTGAGCCACCGCGCCCGGCCAAAACACTGTTTTCAATAAAATAGAGAATAAAGTAACAAAAGCAACGCTATACTTACCAGGACACTGTATTCCCAAATCATCCTCCAGAAGTCCAGGAGAGTTGTAGATAAAGGACCTTGGGTGGCAATATAAGCCTTGGGTCCATAAACTCCCTACAGGGGAACAAAAATTACATGGGGTGACCACAAATAGTATCCTGTTCTCACCTAGTCCTCCTGTTCCTTTTTTTTGAGGTGTCCTCACTGTGTTACCCAGGCTGGAGTGCAATAACATAATCACAGCTCACTGCAGTCTTGACTTCCTGCCCTTAAGCAACGCTCTTACCTCAGCCTCTTCGGTAGCTGGGACTATAAGCACATATTACCACATCTGGCTAGTTTTATTGTTTTTTTTGTTTTTGAGATGGAGTCTTGCTCTGTCACCCAGGCTGGAGCACAGCAGTGCCATCTCAGCTCACTACAACCTCCGCCTCCCGGGTTCAAGCAATTCTCTGCCTCAGCCTCCAGAGTAGCTGGGATTACAGGTGCCCACCACCACGCCCAGCTAATTTTTGTATTTTTAGTAGAGATGGGGTTTCACCATCTTGGCCGGGCTGGTCTTGAACTTCTGACCTCGTGATCCACCGGCCTCGGCTTCCCAAAGTGCTGGGATTACAGGCATGAGCCACCACCCCCAGCCCTGCTGTGTTTTTTTTTCAACCAAAAAAGAAATCCTGGTAACTTATAAAATATTGCTCTTACTCTTCTTTCATTCTGACAATACTTTCCCTTTCTCTGTTCAAACCAGTAATTTTGTTACCAAATGAGCCTGTCAAGGTGAGAAATTTCTAAGTTTAAAATTTACTATTATTATTGTTATTATTTTGAGATGGAGTCTTGCTCTGTTGCCCAGGCTGTAGTGCAGTGGCATGATCTCAGCTCACAGCATCCTCCACCACCTGGGTTCAAGCGATTCCCCTGCTTCAGCCTCCTGAGCAGCTGGGACTACAGGCACCCGCCACCCCACACTGCCGGCCCCCACCCCCCCACCACCAGCTAATTTCTTTGTATTTTTAGTAGAGACAGGGTTTCGCCATGTTGGCCAGGATGGTCTTGATCTCCTGACCTTGTGATCCACCCGCCTTGGCCTCCCAAAGTGCTGGGATTACAGGTGTCATCCAATGTGCTCAGCAATTTTTATTATTTTTTAAATTTTATTTATTTATTTTTGAGACAGGATCTCACTCTGTCACCCAGGCTGGAGTGCTGTGGCACAATCTCAGCTCACTACAGTCTCAACTTCATGGGCTCAAGCAATCCTCCCACCTCAGCTTCCCAAGTAGCTGGGACTACAGGCGCACACCGTCATTCCCAGCTAATTTTTATGTTTTTTTGTAGAGCCGGGGTTTTGCCATGTTGCCCAGGCTGTCTAGAACTCCTAGGCTCAAGCTATCTGCCCACGTTGGCCTCCCAGAGTATACCTGGCCTAGAACTTTTATTTCCTTGGACAAGAATGGCATTGTGATTCTGACTAAAAGACGCCTGAACCCTGAAGTTCCACTGACCATTTTTTTAAAAACACTGGTTTTTTTT